GGGGGAGAGGGACCGGGGGGAGGGGGGGTGAGGGGAAAGAGCCGGCCCAGCGGGTCTCAGGGGCTTCGTGAGCATCCACCCTTTGTCTGGGCTGAGGTGCGTGGGGTGCCCAGCCAGGAGGGACAGGGATAAATAGAAATACCCAGAGAAGTACACACGGCCTGGGGAGCGGGGGCTGTCCCAGCCCCTCACCCATCGTTAACGGGGGGGTAATTATAATTGTGTGCATCGGGGCCGTGAGGGTTGCTGTTGGCCCGGTGCTCTGCAGCTGAGCAGCTCTGGGGTAGCAGTTAGTAGTATAAAAGCGTTATATAATGCAAAAAAAAATCACAACTGTTTCTTCAAGTCAACATTGCACTTTTTTTAGCACTGCTAGCTGCCCAGAACCGAATTAATTCTTTCCTTGTCCCATACGTTAAACACTTTGTGGCCCCTGTTGAAGCCAGGGTCCCTCTTACAGCAGTGAGAGCTGAAAGGCAAGTTCTTGGTTAACTCCGGTCCTTACACCACAGTTACACCGGGCTCAGTGAATCCACACCAGCCTCAAAGCTCCTGAGGTGTTTTCGCCCAACTCTGGCCTAGAAGCAGGAGCAAGGCAACGCAGAAGTGACCTGCCGAGAGCATCAACGAGAAACCGGCTTTTTGCGGGGATTTGCCCGCCGAGAGCTTCTCCCGGCCACTTTGTGGGGTGAGGCAGCCTCAAAGCCCAAGGTCAGACCTGGAATTGGGGACGAGCACTGGAGGCTGGCACCTGTTCTGTTACAAAGGAGCGGGGATGCAAATCAGCATCTCAACTCTGAGTTGCAGATGTAGGTCTGAACTTCAGACCCCACAATGAACAGCTTCGGGGGGGGGTGTCAGGATTTGGGCTTCCCACCACCAGCATTGGCATTTTTTTGCCCGCGAAGGTGCCAGCAGCAACTCGCAAACACGAGCTGGGTACCGGGTCGAGCCCTTGCTGGGAGATGAATTTACATAGCCTGCTCACTCACCCCCTTCTTGTCCGCACAAGACTCTTCCCCACTCCTCGTCTGCTTTTTAAATGCTCTAAAAATTAATCCGGGCACGCTTTCTTTCTAAGGCAGCAGCGTTCAGTGCAGGCAGCTCTCCTACAGAGGGCAGAGGAATATCATCCATCACCGCCGGCTCCAGCAGCCGCGGCTGGGTTACTGGGATGGGACTGGGGGTCCTGGGAGGCACCATGGGAGGAGACCCCTGGAAAAACCCAGACATCTTACCCCCTTCTCAATAGCCTGTGACTCTCCCTACAGAGCTGTGCGATACTGCGAAAACAATATACAGTTCAATTTATGTAAAAACTAATGTTTACCAAAAATGCACATTTTCATTGCAAGCAGAGCCCTTGGATTTTATGCTGTTGAGTATTTCAATCCCGTTCCAACTTTCTTTTGTAGTTATTTTATCATGGCATGAGTGACAGCTGTAATCCTCTGCATTATATATTATGTGGGTTTGCCATTGCTCCAGCAATGTCAAATTAAGCACTGCTTTTTTTTTTTTTTTTTTTAACCAAGACATGGTTTTATAAAACAAGAAACTTCTACAATGAGAGGTGTGTAGAGTGTGTCTTCCCTGCCTTTGCTTCTAGGTTTGGGTTTTTTCACTTTGAGTTTGTAGGCATTTTGTTTCCAGAGTAAAAGATGCCATTATAAACAAAGGGAGGAGCCTGGAGAAATAAATCTATAGAAAATTAAGTAGCAGAAACAAGTGCTTACCTGAACAGTTACTTAGGAGTAACTAACCACTCCCCAAACCAAAGAACTAGTGCCAAGACCCCCCTGCATCATTGCATTTTCAAACCTCTGCGCTCTTACAGAGTGAAAAAGGGATGTTCTCTAACCTAACAAATAATAAATAGCCCTGTTAATAAAGGGAGAGAGGCTTTTAGTGATGCTTAAATAAAACATACCCAATATAATTAATAAAAAATACACAGTGAGTTGCATTAGTCCTCCGGAGTAAAAAATGGGCTTCTTGAAGTCGAGAGCGTTTTTGCCACTCACGCCAGTGAGATCAGGATTTCACCCACTGAGACTAATGGGACAATTGTTCAGTATAAATCCCGAATCCAGCAACGCATTAAAATTCACGTATGTACAACTGCAAACTCGAGGGCTTCTGACAGAGCTTGTAGACCTGTTTCTTTTCCGTCCTCCATCCGTCACTCCTATCGGTGCAAAACAAACGTGGAGGGGGAAAAGCACACGGCGCTCAGCCGGAGGCGTTGCGCACCCCTTCCCGTGCGCGGGGGGAAGGGGAGAGCCCCCACACTCTGCGACTTGCTCGGGGTACCCCAGCTCCGCTGATCAGCACCCAGACGGCTGCAGGAGCTGTTAATTCAAAATTTTTGATAAGGAGATTCAGTCAATATAAAGTGACATCAAACAGAAAATGCAGCGTATGAAAGTCATGGGTTGTTAAAATATTTCACCGAGAGAGCCTCCTGCTTCGCTGTTTATTCTCTCTCTTTTGCCTTTCACTTAGCAGGGTAATTAAATCAGACTCTCAGGCTCGGTTTTAATTTCTGGTTCACATGCCCTCAAACCATGCTGCCGTGGTTTGGACTCATAATCGTGCTGGGGAATATTTGTACAAAAATTGTATCAATACATTTTAATTTAAGACAATCATGAAAGCCTTTTTATGCATCACGGTCCATTCTGTAAAACCCTCTGCCTGTTTATAAACTATAAGCAGAAGCCGTCAAACTGACTGACATAATTTCTGTGGCATTTTTCCTCTTAATTTTATTTTTTTATTTACGCGCTTGTTTGCTAAAATGGAAGTAACACCCTAAACACAGAACAGATAAACAAGTGAATTTTGAACAGTCTGTACTACAGAAAAGCACTTTTAATTTCTCACACTCAGCTCCTTTTGCTCCCGTGCATTCGTGGAGCTTGTCAGCTTTTAGGAAACTGTCAGATTAGATGGTAGCTTTGGCAGTGAAGGACCGTATCATCCCTGTGTGCCTGCAGAATTACAGGTTATTAATACGAATCCATTTTTCAGAGCATTCCTTTACTTAAATATATAAAAAAAGAAACGGGTTGGCAACACAAAGCCGTTCAGACACCACCACCGAGTAATTCGCTGCTCGCCTGCGCTCAGCAGCACCCGGCGCTGGGTCCCTGCCGCCGCGAGCAGAGCGGTGGGAGCGCGGTGGGCTGCAGGCACCGATCTGCGACGGGATTCCCATAGAGATCCATGGGAATTACACGCGCCAGAGTCGTGTCGACTGAATTTAATTGAATGGCATTATCAACGGCAGAATTTGACCCATATACAGAGCACTGCATGCTGTCCAAAAATAGCTACAAGCCAGAGCTGAGCTTGTCTTTCCGACACTTTGGCTAGCAGATGTGATTTTCCAAACCGACCTTCTTCATTTCAGTCATACTATCTCATTCAAGATTTTCTTTTTAAATCGGCAAGACAATTTGTCAGTGAAAAAGAGAAAAAAGGAGAGGAAAAAAATTGGGGAGAAGCGGGAAAGAGCACACATCAAACCTATCCACTAAAACAAATTACATAACAGGAAATTTAGCTTATGTACATAAAAAATCGCTCCCCTTATAAATATTTATTACTATTTTTCTTCTGTGTTTTTATTTACTTCAGTATTTCTGATATTCCTAACCCATCACTCATTCAAAAAACACAACTGTTTTAAAGATTTAATCAACACTTAATGGTCCTTACATCTGAAAACATAATGAATATTGTGTGTCTGAATAGATGCACAGCCTAAAGATGCTTCCAGCAGATAAGAATTTTAAAGGCCGCCCAGAGACAACTGAAAAACTAGAAGAAAACCTTTTTTTTTTCAGACAGAGCCAAAAAGACCTATTTTTTCATCCACAAAAAAAAAAATCTCCCCATGCAAACCCCACGTGCGTGCTCTCCTGTGCACAGAAACGCCAGCACGCAGCTATTCTCGAGACGCTAAGCACCATCACGCGAGGCAGCAGCCCTTTGCTGTCGGCTTCGCTCCCGGCGATTCACCGCAACACCCGGGCACGCGTCTCGCTCCAGCCCTATGGAAGTCGGGGGGTGTTTTCCAGCTCACGTTTACAGTCTGGGCTGCGTGACGATTCTCGCGCCACATAGCATCCTTTCAACAAAATCACACTAGACTTGTCCTGCAAACTTGGCCTTCCTCGATTAGCAGAGCTAAGGATTTCATTCCAAACCACGTGAGAGACCGTCGGCCTCTTTAAAGGTTCAGATTCTGCCAGAAGCGAGCTTGTATTAAAACCGATCAGGGAAGAAAAAAATCTAACTCCCACAGTTGCCAAAAATGCTCTCTAAGCAGAGCACCAAACGTCATCGAAGCGGAGCTATTCCTGAATTTGAAGACAGCCTGTAACAGAAGACTTACGAGAGACCGGTTGTGCCCCTCATCCCCAAGGAGGAACGCGTAGAGGGCCAAGGGGATTCTCCGAGCACCGGACGGTGATACGCACAATAAAACCAGCTACGTGCATCCCATTCAGTGATCCCATGCACAAATGGTGAAAACACTGCTGGAAAATTGGTCGCCCTAAGAGTACCCTTACCATTCCAGTTACAGCAGTCCCAAGCACAGAGATTTAGTAACGTGAAGGTCAGCTAACTGACCTGAAGGCCACATTTACGCTTCAATTTCTGCATTACAATTCCGCATGTAATGAATGAAAAACTCACCAGGCAACAACAAACTTTGCTTTCTAAGCATGACCCCATGCTCTACAGCTAAAAGCACCACAAATACTATTGAAAAAGAAACAGAAGATAGCAATCCCAGAAGGATTTATAATCAGAATCTATTTTTAACGGTCCTGCTAATTTAATTTATAACTTCGTGGGTATTTTGTTGGCATGAGGAATGCTGACCGCCCCAGTGCCATGGCAGACGCAAAGAAAAGACCTTCCAGAACCTGCTCCAGCATCACGATTCCCTGTTCCCAGCTCAACGCCGTCAGCAGCGTTTAAGGACATGTATCCATTGTGTAATCTTAACATACCTGAATTTATCTACTGGGGTAGTAACAGCAAGGGAGACTGCAAATGCTTGCATTTAATATGGTAAGAGCATGCAAAGCTTAAATACAACAGTCTTGTTCAGGGAAAAAATCCAGATTATGGCAAAAGGAATCGTTCCTGAGAGGGCACTGCAATATCTGCCACTTCCGAGGATGGCAAAAGCATGTAAATCACCACCGATATTTTTAAATTGTATTTATTTATAGATTTGTATTGTGCACCCTTCGCTCAGCATTTGGGTACACACACACATATTAAAATAATATACATCATTTGTCTACAAATCGTAATTTAAGTACATTCTTACTCCTGGGATACAGATCTTTTTACAAGTCCCCTGCCGTTCCCCAAGCAAAGGCCTGAGTAAACAGATACCAGCAGCGACTGGAGACGAAGGGAAGGGGCAGCGAGGAGCATCGCACAGCGGCAGCGCGGGGGGACGCGGCGCGCGATCGCTTTGGGCCAAAAGCAGAGTTGTTCGGATGCTGGAAACACGGCATTTTACAGCTGCTTTGATTAGCCTTCAAACTACCTCCTTCGTATAGATGAGCTCAACACGAATAATACTTACAAGGTTCGCCTTGCACCTTTTTTCCTAGGAAACGGTCTTACACGCGGGGTTCGCGCGAGTCTTCGGTCTCGCGCGTTCGAAGACCGAGCCGCCCTGGGCCGTGCCGGGAGGGCGCGTACCGCTCGCCCCGGGAACGCCGCGGATGCCGTCCCGAACGGGGCGAGAAGACGAGGGCCTGCGCGGGGTTTAACGTCACCGGGCTGCACCTTCTGCTGGGACGCAGCAACAAGGTGAAGGTCACCGAAACCAGCAGCAGTCAAGGAAGGAAAGATCAAAAGAGAGCAATTACTTCTAAAAAGGCTTTCGAAATTACATTGCACGTCCGTATAGTCGCATGTCGCACGTCCGTGTTTCTGCAGTTAAACCCCCTAATACCCGCACGTAAAATCCACCCAAGCAACACACATTTCTCGAGGCCCTTCTCCCGCAGACCTCTATTCACCCAAGTAACGCTACCGAAGTCAATGGAAACGCTCTTGTAAACAAGGACTTACAAGAACCCAACGTGACAATGGTTTCAAAAGGAGTTTTGACTGTGCAATTGTTGCTGGATTAGGGTCTTCAGAAACACCGAGCTCGCTCTGAAGAGCACAGAATTCAAATCTGCAAAGCGCTGGGGCCTCCAGAGCGGATCCCGGCAAGCACTGAAGGACGCGCTCAGCCTTAGGCATGGGAACGGCTCCTGGGCTCCCCCCCCCGAAGATGGGCAAAACCCCTGCCGAAGGGATGGGAGCTTCGAAAAAAATACAGGCTCTCCTCCCTCCCTTTTATAGGCCACTGACCTACCCTGAACTGTATCACATCGCTGCCTAAATTAACAGGGAAGAAACTGTACAAATACCTTGTCACCAAAAAAAAAAAAAAAAAAAAAAAAAAAAAGAAAGAAAAAGAAAAAAAAAGAAAAACCACTTGGCAGACAGGTTTTCTACAAAATAAGCCTATTTGGTGAAATTCTCATTTAAAATAATTGATTCAACAATAAACCAGCAGCATAGACCAGAAGCGCAAACAGCAGTATTTATCAATAGCACTTGCCCAGATAAGTAAAAGTTTGTCATAAATAGATCACCCATTACTTTGCTCATATAAATGCAAAACAGAGCAACAAAACAGAGCAACAGTACAAAAGACAAATAAATGAGTTAGACACAGAGTCCATGAGTTTAAGAAGTCTCCCCTGTATTTAATAAAGCATGAATTTTTTTAGAAACACTAACAGATCCCTTGCAGATAGTTTTTATCTTTATATTATTATATAAGACATTTTGTGTTTAAAGTGAACTATTGCTTCATCTAGGTGGCCCCTCTGCTGGGCATAGAAACTAGGTTGTGAACAAAATAAAAAATCACCATTGAAAATTACAAATCATACAACTTTAAAGCATTTGGATTTTTTTTCCCCCCCTCAGTCCAAAGAGGTAAATAATTGAATTGCTGGGAATGTAGAAGTCTGTGTTTTAGCGTAAATTTCTGAGTCTACGTAAAATAAAAAAGAAGCCAGCCAGAGTCACGATTAGTTGAGAGACGAAGGAAAATATGCAATTATAGTTCATCCCATCCTATTAGCTCAGCAGGTAGAAAACATTTAGACCAGTGACTTTTCAGAACCGAACCTAATTCTTTGCTTCTAACACAGGTCAAAGTCCTCTCGGAATCAATGAGACTTTTGCTTTTGAAGAACTGAGTATTTGGGATTCTGCAATCATGTATAATTAAAACATTAAATCTGTCATTTCACAGGGTTCCAGAATTTTTTGTTTTGTTTCATTTTTCTCCCAAGAAAATTAGTATGTATCTAGTGCAAAGCAAAATATTCTCCCCCGCTGCCCTTCAGAGAACTTCACATATACCAAACGCTATTAAACAATTGACTTTGTACCAGCTCTAAAAAAGGATTAAAATTACTTTCATGACATTGAGGTTATGCTGTGTTCAAAACCATCCAATCAGGGGAAAAAAAAAGAAGAAAAATTACCTTTGGAGAATTAATTTAACTAAAAATGGGTCAGTTAAAAACCGTATCTTTGCAAGTTCTTTACATTTACAATACATTTTTGTTTATGCATGAAGTAAGCATTTTGAATATGTTTTCTCTTAGCGTAGACCAAGAATAGCTAAATATATTTAACAAATTGCTTAGTTTCTGATTTTGAAATTTAACGTACAGCGTAACATATTATTTGTACTTCAACAACTGAGCCTGCAGATGGGAAGGAAGGCTGGAGCTGCCACTGACTGCTATCTGCATCGACACCAGGGTTTAGACTTCTACCAGAGCAAAAGAGCTATACAGGATTATCAGTAGAGTGGATCATTCTTTCTCAGGGCTATTTTACTCAAGAGAATCCATTTTAAATTGCTTAAAACATCAAATGAAACACAAGTTATCTAAACATCAGATTTTCTAATTTTATTAAAAACGCACAAATTTTATCCAACATGTTTTCTTTCATACAGTGAATGGTCTAATATGCACTGGAGGTCACACAAGCTTAGGTTTATTAGAACAATAAAAGACATATGAGAAATTTAATATATAAAGAAAAAAGTAGCAGCTGTTGACTGCATATTTGACCATAAAATTTAAATATTTTGGACTTTTATTTTAAAGACACAAAAATAAAACCTGTGTGGGTCTATATAAGTCATATTAACAATTCCATGAATGTTCAACAGGACTAAAAATTAGCAAAGATGTTTTTTTTTTTTTTTAACCTTGTAACACTTTTTAAACACCTTCTCGGGTTGCTGGTGCAAAGCACCTTACAGTATTTGTGCTATATATTTACTTTATTTGGCAACTGTCTGGGTTTCGTGGGTTTTTTTTCTTTGCCTTCTGTAAACAACACCTTTTACAAACTAGCACAGTGAACCACAAGCCCTGCAATCTGTTATAACATCTACAGAAAAGAAAATGAACTATTTTGGTTGGTTGCTCAAAATATTTTGCTTTTGAACAAGAGGTTCTAAAACAGGATTTATTAGTAAAACATTGAACTCCTGAATTTAACATTAGACGTAAACAGTTGACTGTTTTTAGTTCAATAGAGTCTTTTTGTTTAGCTTTTCTCTCTCTGTGAAGGTAGAATACTTTTTGTTTGTTTGTTTGTTTGTTTGTTTTTCAAGTCATTTTCGTTAGAGGTCTGGGTGGTGACCTTTGCTATGATGAGGAGGTTTTGTACGTGTAGCTTTGTGAAGGTAGAAGAGTTGGTGCTGAGGGCTTAACATTTAGTATTTGCTATTTTGGAAAACAAAACAAAAACAAAGGAAAAAGAAAGTTGTCCCACCTGGTAGTCAGCAGGCTGAAATGGCTGAAGCTAAAAAGAGTTTCTTGTTGACGAACTTTCTGAGAGACAAAAATTAACAAACAAATTCATAATGCCAGAACCATCCTTAACCGGGAACGCTAGAGTTCTTGCAGCTTTTTTCCCCCTTTTCTTTGACCTTTCCTTCATTCACTTATTAATTTTTTAAACGAGAAGTTTCTAAGGATTGTGGCTCTTAGGATGACATCCAACAGGGTAAGCAAACTTACGCCATCCTACGGTATGGCAGCACTTTACTGTACAGCTTCACCAGTTTCTTTGTCAATGGTACAAAAAAGTCCCCTCGCTTGTTTGATACAACCGTAACATGAAGATTGTCCCGGTCTAGAGCAAAGCTTGCCTTGGAGCGATTTGGATTCAGTTCGTTCCCAAGGTAATATTGTCTTAGGGCAGGAGAGATGTTATATTTATTCATTTCTGTACACCGTAACAATAAGCAGACTAGATGATCATCACTTACTTAGACCCAGTTTGTTTTAAAGCTACCACACAGCCGCTTCGTTCATTTCTGGTGGATGTGACAAGTGATTGCCATAGTTAGCACCACCGTTGACGGATATCGAAGAAAATGGAGGACTGGGGCCAAAAACTTCCGCGGACATGGAGTGCAAGGACCCGGGCAGGTTGGGTTCGGGACTGGGCGAGTCTCCTGGGGGGTGCGACATGATGTCAGTGAAGCGCTGAGCCTCACTGGAGGGGTGATGTCCGGGCAGGGGGTGATCCATGGCCCCCAGGGGAGTGCCTGACGGCCCCGAGGAGGGCACGAAAGGGAGATCCACGGGGGTCTGCGCTTGAGACGAAGGAGGTCCTTGCGGGAAGAAATCGTAATTGCTTCCAGGGCCGTAATACTCGCTCTGATAATCTGGCAGACAAGGAGAGACAGAGGGAAGGTAACACACAGGCCAAGGAACCCGAGGGGAGAGACGCGGGCTGGCGTGGCTGGCGAGGGAAACGCGCTAACGGCTTAGGGGGTGCTCTGGCCCGGTCCCAGGGGTCCCCGGCCGGCGGAGCCCCTGGCCAGCACTGGGGACACTGAAATGTGACGGCTCGGTCTGCGAAACCGTCCGGCAGTGGGGGGAATTAACCCCCGCCAGGCTCCGAGGAGGGGCGAGGAAACCTGCCAGCTTGGCCCCCACCACCACCCCGGGGAGACGGAGCAGGGGGACACAGGGGACAGGACCCCGCCGGTTCGGACGGCCCCGGTGCCGAGCGGGGAGCCCGGCTGGGGGCAGCGGGTACCGGACGGTGGTATGGGGGGGTCGAGGTGGGGCGTAGCACGTTATTACCCACCTCCGTAGAAGGAGAAGGGCCCGTTGGGGATGAGCTCCCCGGGCTCCAGCCGGTCCACCAGCGGCCGCATCCTGCGTGGGCTGCGGAAGAAAGCGTGCCGGCGGGCGCCCAGCGCGCTCAGCTGCTTCATCCGCCGCTCCTTGGAGCGCCGGTTCTGGAACCAGACCTGGGGGGT